GCCGGAGCCCCGCCCGGCGCCTCCCCCCCGCCGCCCCCGCCGCGGGCATGAAGCGACCGCTCGGCAGGTGAGAGCGGCCGTTACCGCGGGAGGGCCGGGGCGGGGGGGATGGTACTCCCGGGACGAAGTTAGTGGTCGCTAATAAACAGCGTTTTATTTTAGTAATTTTATTCTTTATTTATTTGATTTGATTTAGCTGGGCTGCGTTCCTCCGCCTCAAAATAATAATAAAGCACCACACCGTCTGCAACGATGGGTGATGCTCGCCGGTAGGATCCCCACGGGTGCCAGGCCGCGGAGGGAGGTGGCGTGTCCTGCAGGGCCTCGGAGGGGTGTCGTGGAGAGGGGCCACGGCCGCGGTGTGTGCGATGCCACCGGGTTGTGGATTTTTCCCAGATGGAAGGATCTTTAGTGACTGAGTTAGCACCGAGGTGGTAGCTGACGCCAACAGCATCCCCTGGAAATGTAAAGGTTGGTGCTGGGTGTCTAGAAAAGCAGCCAGCATGGCTCTTTGTCTAGTAAATTCTATGAGAATTCTACTGTTGTTGGACAAAATTAACATTTGAAAATAACTTTTTTTTTTTTGTCTGATCCCATGTATTCTTGTTATTATTTCTCTGTCCAAGGAAAGTTCTCTTAAGATGCCGTTGTTTCCTAGTGAATAATAGCTATTATTCAAACCCGTGGCTCAGAGGTCAACTCTGGGATGCTGTCAGCACCCTGCTTGTGTTACAATAAGCTTTTCCTAGTGGAAAATGATGCTGGGTCGATGCCTTGATTTTAATAATGACAATGGAGCAGATACTGCAAGCGTTCTGCTGTTACCTTTTTTTTTTTTTTGGTAAGAATTGAGTGTATTTATTCCATATGATGAAGTATGTAACTTCTACGACCAGGGGTGTATTCAGATGATGGATTATTGAGTGTTTTGGCCTTACAAGCGGAGATCTGTGCTCTTGACCGATGCAGAGATGTCACTTTAGTCACGAGCATTGAATTGGTCCTGAGAGCACTCAGATGGAGCTGTCGGCCTCCATGTGTTTGATGGAAGCTTTCACCAAGCACAGCACAGGTATTAGATAATAGTGTGCTCAAAGGCAAATGAAAAAGTAAGGAGAATAGACTCTCCCTGTGCAAATAGCTTTCTCCTCCTCTTTTCTCCTTCAGCACTCTTAAAAGAAATGGTCATGAGGCATTTTTTTTTTCCTCACTCTCTTCCATGTTGAGATTTTGCAGCCTGTTTCAGGAGTCCCTGAAGTCCCGTGTTTTGTGCTTTCTGCCTGGCACTGGGTAACATCTAGCAGTGCTTCTCAAACTCTTGACATTAGAGGGAAAAAAAAAACACTCCATTTGCAGTCCATTTTCCCTTTTACTTTAAAAACAAACCAAAAAACTCTCTCGCCCCAAAGAACGTGCACATCCGAAATCCTATGGACTGTCCTGTGCCAAAATGGTGTTTGTCGTCAACAACAAAAGCGCAAAGTCAAAATGTGAATCTTAGTGTGTGTGAGTGGGAGTTACAAATGGAAGCACAAGTGCTGCTTGGAGATATGGGTGCTGCCCAGAACAGCCCCCTGAGTGTGGTGGGGCTGCTCTCTGCCTCCTCTGCTGCCTTTGGCGGTGGGAACCAGCTCTACTTGAGGAGGAACGTGAGGAAGGCAGCTGTGTGCTCACTTGTGACTGCCTTCCAGCAGTGTGTGGCCAGCAGCTTCTTGTGCAAGAGCTTAGATGCTCCTATTTTGACATGCCAAATAGTGCTGTTATCGCAGCGTTTCTTACTTCGCTGGATATCCATCCATTGTTAAACTTTCCATGCGTTACATTACTCTTCCTCTCCAGGTTGGTCCACTTCCAGAAAGCGGAAGGAGGAGAAAACGCTGGCAGCCGTGAGGTTGCTGCAATGGTGGAGGAGGTGTAATATCTGGAAGTGAGATTTAGTACCCTCAGCAAACTCTTTGTAGCAACGTGTTGGTGGGTGAAATAGCTGGAGTCAGCGCTTCTGGTGGCTGCGAGTTCCCGTTCGGGAGAGCGGGGCTAGCCGTCAGCATTCCTTGCTGGGGGTGGTGGGGCTCTCTGGGGCTTGGGAAAAGAGTGCGTGTTTGACTCCAGCATGTGGTTTTTCCATCTCTTTTAGGAAATGATGTCAGCCACCAGTTTAAAGCAAAGTGGGAGGCGGAGGGGGGCAGCCAGGCCTGCAGTAGCCTAAAGGGGTTGGTAGTTCCATGGCCAGGTGTGTGATCTAATGGCCTGGAACCCAGTGGGGATCTGTAGGGGCCATGATAACGATGCTTTTTTTACAGTAGCGACAGGGGATTTAAAGTACTCTCAGGGTTTGTTGCCTTCTCAGGTAAGGTTAAATAACACTGTAATCGCAAACATAAGTAATGTTTGCAGAATACACATTGACTTACAGCAGGAACTAATTATTCCAGCAGTGGGTTTTGGGGGTTTTTTTTGTTTGTTTGTTTTGTTTTTTAAGTTTGACAACATCTGAACTGTCCCGTCATTCTGGCTCAGTCATGTCATCACCCAGAGCTCTCTCATCCGAGAACTGCAGTTCATACTGTAGAGGTGGCTGTGCTCTTGAACTGTTCTGTTGTGTAAATGGTGCATGTGCGTATGTATGTATAATGGAGATGGATACCTGTGTGGGCTTTCCTTAAGTGGTGTTCAAACCAAAAGAATGAAATAGAGGTATTTCTGCCTTTATTCCATCCGGTGGTTGCTCTGAAACTCTCAGTTTGTTTCATATGGCAAATCATTCATTCTTGGATGTTTTTGTCTGCAACTGCTAAATGCAATATTGCAGTAATAAAGCATAATGTAGCGCAAAAATGGATTTCCAGATATACGTATTGTGTGGATGGCCATTCCTGTAACGTCTGAGTTATGATGTGTTTTCCATTGACGGTGTTAAACTAAGTGCTAGATGGTTATCAAGGTAGCAGTGCATTTTGTGCATAGCAATCATAGAAAATGAAAATTTGAAGAATGGCTGCATGGCTCATTTTTGCAGTACGTGACCAGGATGTTTTGAGGAAATGCACTTGAGCAAATGTGGGTATAGAAAACCTGTATGCAGGGGCACAGAGAATAAAGAAAACGGCGAGTTTAATGCTAGCTTTGCTGTCAGAGTAGATTCATTGCTCACTTTTTCTGAACCCTGGCCCCTGTGGCAAATGGACACATAATTATTACCATCTGTGACCTAGTCCTGATCCAGGCTTTATTACCTGCAATCACTAGTCACACCTTAAACCTGAGAGGAACTGAGTATTATTTTAGCCGTTCCTTGCTTTCCTGCCAATCCCTGTTTGCAAATGCTGAAAGTTACTGCTCTCTTTGTCCGCCCTGTGAAGACCTGCACACACCAGGTGTGTGTGTGCCTAGGTCCTTGGCTGTCTGCGAAACCTGCTAGCCCCTGGCCTGTCTTTTCAGTTGCCTTGGCCATCTGCACTGTTGGCAACCCCTTAGTCTTGGCACAGGTCCGCGCAAGGTTTGTTTGTTTATTTCTTTTTGTCATCCTTCCTTTGGCCTTCAAATCTCTGTATCCCACAAGCTAGAGCTCAACTGTCTGAAAATGCTGCTCTCTGATGCACTTGCATCCTCCTACAGGTGTCTTTGTGATCAAAAGTTTCTCTCATTAGGTCTATTTTTCCTGTGAGCCTCTCCTGTTATTTCTGTAATAGAACAAAGTATGTTTTTGGGTGTGTCTGCTCTGTGCTATCACATCGTGATACCCAGGGCCCAGTGACTCTGCTTTGTTGCCTTGTGCCTGATTTGTAAATTACTGTATTATTAATAATAATAGTTGTTGCTTTTTAATTCCTATCAAGTCTTCTTCTGTATAGGAACTGCATGAATTGTAGACCTGTGCTTGTTTCACCATACCTAAACTTATCCATCCGGGTACTCCTGGGACCCAGATGGACTTTCATTCACTCACGGAAGGAAGATTCCTTTGTGGGGACCAGGATCTTCCCAGTCTTGTGGTGTTTTCTGAACCCCTCTACTATTTCCAAGCTGTTCTTGCTTTCACAGAGAATCTGTGACCTACTTACGGCAAGTTCATTTTTGAAGGTGACTGACTTTCTTGCTATAGATGGCACGCTGTTTCTAAGCAGTTTGGTTTGCTGAGAATCAAGTGCTCTGCAAAATGAGTCACAGGACATAGGTCCAAGTCCGTAGGTTTCCTCCAGGGTGCAGTAATATGTATTTCTCTTTTTCAGGGCCCTAGGAAACTCTGAAGTGAAGCCTCAGGTGGCATCTATGCAATTTTAATGCTAAGAGTCAATTTAGGGGTCAATGGAAGAAGCTTTGGCAGCTAAGTATATATTAATGACAGTAGATTTCCCCGTGGAAAGGTGGTCTGTGAGTGGAAAAAAAAAAAAAAAGTGACTGGATTATCAAGACGACTGGGTTGATGAAAGCATGAGTGGTAAAATTGTTTCTCCAAAGCACTTGACTTTGTCCTGCCTCTTTTTATTCAAAGAGCTTGCACTGTTTATGGAGTACATATTAGCTGTATTGAAAACTGGCTCAGGGACAGGTCTTGAGAGTAGCTGTTAGTGAAGAGATAACAACTGGGAATTTCTCTTGAGACTTTCTTGGTTCAGTGGTGAGTAATTTTGTCTCACTGGGATGGCAGACGTGCAGTTACTGCTGGTAAAACTGGAGGGGAAGCAGAGCAGCAAGGCTGTAAATAGAACGGTTTGGGGAGCTGCATCAGCTGGAGGAAAGTACAACAGAACGTGGGTTAAACGGAGCTGCAGGCAGGGCAGTGCACTTGAGGAGAGTGTGAATGCTGTAGCTGTAGGTTGGGAATCGTGTAGAAACAGAGGCAATGCATGAAGTCCCTCTAAACATTCTGCACGCTGCCCATGAGTCCTGGCACGTGGGCCTTGCCCAAGCTCCACACCTAGAACTAAAACCCTCATGTAGCCCTTGCACTTTTGCCTTGCTAGTGGCTGCTTTCCGTTTCTGAGCAGTCAAGTGTTGGTGAAACAACCCACCACTGAGCTTTGGAAACCTGTCCCTTCCTTAATGAAGGCAATTTAAACTTGCAAG